AAGAAGAAGAAGAAGAAGAAGAAGAAGAAGAAGAAGAAGATTTAAGATGACAAAAAATTGAAGTCGCTATGAGCCTACGGCTATGGATATGGCTCAGTGGGGGACAAAGGAGAGGAGGACGAGGAGGAGGAAAAGGAGGAGGAGGACAAGAAGAAGAAGAAGAAGAAGAAGAAGAAGAAGAAGAAGAAGAAGAGTGAAGATGACGAGAACAAAAAGTTGCTGTTGCTATGGATATGGCAGAGTGGGAGACAAAGGATGAGAGGTGGATGAGGGGATGAGAGAGACATGTACCTGGTGTATGCTGGCAGTCTCCATTGGCGACGTCACATTGGTCTTGAGCTTCAAAGTGATTCTTGTTGCATGAATGTAGAGTAGGCTAGTCTAGGCTGGGCGGTGAGCGCCAACCAGGAAGAGCGACATTGGGTACTATGTTGATGTGGCGAGAGAGTGTCGACGTCGATATTTGAGTTCAGTGTATCCCTACACTTGTTAAAATCGTTAATGTGAAAATTTTGGAATCCGGGCCGTCCGCGGACCTACCGGCCCAACGGTTCGGATTGCCCTCGATCTTAAGCTTTTAAGATCGCGCGGCGATCCAGGCCATTCGCGGCCCTACCGGCCCGGCGACCCGGATTGCCCCGCCATCGTAAAACTTCAAAATCGCGGGGCAATCGGGGCCGTCGGCCCGGTACCAGTTGGCGAATGGCCCAGATTAGAAGTTTGCAGCCCAATGGAAGTTAGGGCTGCCAGGTGTGGGGAGAAACCGGTTCCAGGCGGGACGGTCTCCTCTTGGGCCCTACGGTTCGGCCCCCCCACATATCTTTGACTGCGCACAGCACGCACGCACACGAACGCCCGCCTGTCCACTCAAACAAGCACATGCACACACACACACACATCCACGCACAACACACACTCACACGAACGCCCGCCGGTCCACTCGAACGAGCACATGCATGCACACACAGACATGCACGCACACACGCACAAGAACGAAGACAAGCATGTATTTTTGTGGGGTTCACACAAAACTTTGTGAGACGGTCGGGGTTCAACCCCCTGCCGAGTTGGTGAAAGTCCAACGAAACAGTCTGGCACAGTCATGCTTTTTTCGTGGGGTGCGCGCGCGTGCGTGAGAGAGAGAGAGAGAGAGAGAGAGAGAGAGAGAGAGAGAGAGAGAGAGAGAGAGAGAGAGAGAGAGAGAGAGAGACCAAGCACCCTACCATTACGATGCTGACTGACGAAAACGAGGTGAAGATGCCGATGAAGATGAAAGATAAGGAGTAAGGAGCACTATTTGCAAGGACAAGGTGAGATGATAATGGCGTGTGGAAAGGGAGACGAAGGGACATGAAGGGGAGCACGAGGCTATGGTGGTTTTGTTTTTCTTTCCTATTCACTCTGATCGTGAAAGGGTGATGAAGCCACATGAAGGGAAGGAAGAGGAAGAGGAAGAGGAACACGAGGAGGGAGAGGGAGGGAGGGTCGGGAGGCAGAAAGAGATGGGGCTGGAGGAGGAGAAGGGGGAGGAGGAGGATAAAGGGGAAGTACAAGAAGAGGGGAAAGTCCAGAGGAGGGAAAGGGGGGAGAAGAGGAACAGTAAGGGGGAAGTCGAAGGGGTGCGGGGGGAAAGCTAGGTGGAAGTTGCCGAAAGGAGGTTGGAGGTTCAAGGCGTGAGATCGTGCACGTGGTTAGGATACAAGTCGCAAAATCGCGCTTT